ATTCAAGTTGAGGGGAGACAACAACGTGGTAAGAGACAAAAGAGACAACAAGGAGGTAATATATCTTCTTCTGGTCAAGATCGTGAGGGTGGGGAAGATCAACAACAAACTGAACAAGGAAGTGATGATGCTTCTGGAAACCATCGAGGTAATATAATGTATAAACTAGAAAAAAATATTTTAATGGGGGTTCAATATTAACAACTAACAATCTGTGTGTGTGAATGTAGACGATGATGGAGGAGCAGATGACATACAATAAGAGAATATACCTTCTCCTCCTCGTCAGAGAAGAGATGCTCAGACTTAGGTTATTCAAAGACAACAACGTTCAGGGAGGAGACATGTTAGAACTGAACAAGTAAGAGATGTTGTTGAATTATTTAAATTTGAGTAATATGATAAAAAAGACAGCATAAAAATTATGAGTAATCTAACATCTACTTTGTATCAATAATAAATGTATAGTTTCACGTAATTTGTTAATTTATGAATAATCAAAATATAATTTTTGTAATGTATTGAACCCACTTATAAAAAATGATAGATGAGAGTGAGAGATAATTCAAGTAACTTAATTGGATTAACACTTGAACTCAAGTTAATTTGTTGAGAAAATAATTTTTTTTGAAGTTCACATTAAATCAATTCGAGTAAAACCTTAAAACCAAACAAAATGCTTCTCAAACATGCATTCAAATCTAAAACCATAATTTATACCCTATTACATTTAATAAACTTGCATATGAATCCTTTAAAAAAAAAATTTTTTTTTAAAAAAAAAAAAAAACTTTCATTTGAATGTATAGAAACCCAGTTTTCCCTCAAATAAGTAGTAAGAACAATAGCGTCATGCACCATTCTAATTAATCATCTTCTCAACAATATTGGAAATCAATTTTGCCTTAACGCTATGTTGATTCGCAAACAAAACACCCTACCCCAAAACCTCATAAATTCACAATACCAAAATTGAGTATAACCAATAACTTGCAAATTTGCAATTTTCACGAACGAAATTTTTTAGATTGGTTTTGGGGCATAATGAATTACTAACAAAGCATAAACAACTTTGGTTTACCTTTCGTTGTTGATTGAATGACCGAAAATTATACTTACCTCCGCTTTTTTAGTTTACACGTATTCCTCTTTAAGAAATTTATTTACTTTTAATTAACACGTTTCATTTTTGGGTAAATTTTATACCTTGCATTTATTAATCCCCACTTGCTTTACCATTCTTTCTCACACTCTCTCCTCTCCTTAATATTTGTGCCTAAAATAAACGTGTCAACTAAATAAAAACGGAGGAAGTAGTTCAAATGACAACGTTGTTTGTTTTAAATGGCAATATATATTTTATAAGTGGACAATAATTTAAAAATTGGACAATATTGTAGTGGCCAAGTGTATTATTACAATATATGGTTCAATTAATTATGGAGCTTGAGAATATTTTATGCTTTATTAATCATTTGAGTTATACATGGATCTGACATCTAGGCATAGATTGGTTTTGGGGCATAATGAATTACTAACAAAGCTAACGTTCAATAGTCATTAAGGGTACTTGGTGCATATTTGTGAAAACTCAATGATATATGGTGAAAAATTGAAAACTTAGACATATTGTGAAATAACCGTAAATATTGGTGCCTTTCAATTTCAATGAATGACCGAAAGCTATAATTCAAATGACAACATTACTGATCCAGGATTTCTAACGAGGGGTAACATTTTACAATAAGAAGGGAAAAAAAAAATAGAAACGAGATATTATATACTTAGTATACATTATTATCGTTTGATGATTAACTTTAAAATTTTTAAATTTATTTTGGTGGATAAATATTTATTGTACAAATATAGAAAAATTTATATTATAACTGTCAATATAATTAATACAATGATCAAATTTAAAAGTATTCCATATGTTCGATAAATTACTTTTATATGTACTCCGCATCTATTATTCATAAGGTTAAAAATTATATGATAATATATACTGTCATACTATAAGTAGAAAGAAATTATTACCCATATAAAAGTATAAAGCTAATTAGTAGATATATTACTTATCAAATATGTGCATTGAAAAAAATAAGAAGTGCAATTAAAATGGAAAGCATTTTATCAAATGAACAGGTCTTAATATAAAGAGAATAAGCTACTCATTTTATATATTTTTTCTTTATATTGGGCATCATGCCAATATTTAGTAAATAATTAAAGTTTGAATATAAATTTATATTATTACTTAAAAAACATAGATTTTACTATTTAAATAAAAAAGATAGAAAAAAAATGGATGAATACAAAATTAATTGTGCACACATCAACACATACAAGTAGAAGAAAAAGTAAAAAATAACAATAAGAAAAAATAAAGTCAATAGAAAAAAGTAAAAATAAATGAAAAAAAAAAGAAGACAACCTAAGAGACCTGTTTTATACATAACTGGTCTTTAGGTTTGGAAGGGGAAGCGCGCAGGTTAGATATCTATGGAATCAACAAAGAGATCTGTTATTTCAAAAACCAGGTCTCTTTAATTAACAATTTTTTTTCCCGGAGGTAGCAAGTGCTACCCTTTGTTACTATGTAGGTCCGCCTCTGGCAATGCTTAGGAGATTCAAATAACAACACTTCTTGCTTAACCCACACAACGAGGCATACAGAAGCACAGGTGGCTACAGTGAAATAAATACAGAAAGACGACTACAGCTGAATAAAAACATGTAACCATCAGACACCGCGATCCAGGGGATAAAATCCTATGATGGTAACCAAAGTTAGGAGCTTACTGAGAATTATCAGGCCTTAATATAGGCTATAATGGTCTTAAAACAGTCCCAACTGTATTTGGGTCATAACTCTGGCTAAGAACTGTCATATACAATTTAGCTCCTATAGCTGTATAAACTGGGTTTCCTTCAAAAAAAAAAAAAAAAAGAAGCTGTATACACTGAGTTGATATCAGGTAAATAAGGAAACATATATGAATCCTATAGATGAATCTAAGCCAATAATATATTGTACTCCGTATTAGTTTACACTTCGTATATGGGCAAAAAACAAACTTGAATCCTAGCAACTTCATGAAACATATAAAAGCCAAGTGTCACATATCCTAGCCAACATTCTGGAATATGTTCTGTAAGGCGTTTTGCAGAATGGTTACCATCAGCTAAAACACAAGAGATAATTTCTAAAAAGCATCCCACACCAGTATCAGCTAAAAAGCACGTGTGCCACCCGTAATCGTCTACATGACAAGCTAATGAAGTCAGATGAAACAGATCTACAAGACTCAATCAATCAGTAATGCAAATGCTATATGCATTCTTTCTGGAAACACAATTCAAATAATTCCCTATACCACGCATAAATGCAAAGAATTCTCTATAAAATCATTTATATACTGCGCATAAAAGCAAAAGATTCTCTGTAGAATAGTTGTTGAATCTCTAGGGAAATTATGCGACAAACAAGTGAAGATTCTCTCATACGATTTGTGATAATGTGCTGCATGCACACATCCATATTATGCTTAATGACGCTAGTACTGCAATGGCAGATTTAAAGGACAGATTTTGCTATCCTATGGTCTTTTCAGTTTCCTGCCTGTAACACTTGAGGTGAGGCCATCAGCTTTGGGGAGTAAAATACGCCTCAATCTCCTGACCTTGCAGAAATTCAGCGTGCTTCCTGGCAGGGAAGAAAAATGTACGCGGTTCAAATTTCTGGTACAGAAACTACATGCAGAACTAATATAAGCAGTAGAAACAGACGTAGAAAACCAAGTGAAACTATCTAATTTAACAAAGAGAGTGGTTTTGGTAACAATAAACCAATAATAAGAGCAAAGCCATTGAAAACTCATAATGCAGCTGCTGAACAACATATTAAAGGGCTATGGTAATTCTAAAGAAAGAACCAAGCACATCAAAACTAGCCTATATTTCATAAGAGCTGATATAGTACATAAGTACTTCTAAAGGTCAAAATGCAGTAGCAACTACACAACAAGATTGTCTTGTAAAGAGCATGAGCTGCAAAGGCCATTACATCTAGGCAAGCGCTACACAACAAAGCTAATGGGAACCATAACAACAAAAGAGTCCCCTAGTTCCAATACAACAATAGCATATTTATAAAAGTTAAGACCAAATTCGAACTCAATAGACTTCCTATGCTCAAAATTAGTTTCTAGTCTGCAAGAACCGAAAAGTGCACAGGGACCTCATTCCCAGATGCAGGGATAACAACTACGAGTAAAATTGTGCAGGGCTTGCTTTTCTTTGGAGGAAGTGGACAGAAGTCAATCCTAATTTACTAACCAAAGTAAATCATAAATCAAAAGTATCATAATCAAATTTTAAAAGACCAGCAACCACAAAATGCCCAGCAAACGCAATAAATTTCCAACCAAAATCATCTAATAATCCTAATTAAACCTTAGATTTGTTTCCCTAAATTCCCAATAGCACCAAATCAAAATCAATCACATCAAACCAAAGAAACCCAAAACAGAATTAAACACAGGTAATCAAGAAATCAAACGTAGGGATTGAATTTCAAATACAAAAATAACCAAATAGAGAGGAGCAGATTTAAAGTATTTACAAGGACATGTGGTTTTGGAACATCTGAAAAGAAACGTACAAAAATTAGCAGAAACTTTAAAGAACAGATGAGTGATTACAATACTAAAAATAAAGACTCTGCGCATGATATACAGATACTACATAGATTGTCAAACAAAAAGTATTAATATGATGAACGGCTACTTCTTTTGATACATGCAACATCTCAGAGCCCAAAACCATCATTGCTAAAATTCAAAAGGGCAAAACAAACCTGGGGTCCACCTTGGGATAGCAGGTCTTCAACTCGCTTCACCTCTTTTTTAAGACAGTATCTTTTTCATAGTAGAGACTCAAGGGGCAGCTTTCTGTTGAAACACAAACTTTTCTGCATTGTCCCATGTTGGAATTTTTTGAACCTTTACAATCATTTTATCAAGAAAAAAGTTCACATAGGGACAAAACTAGGACACAATGGACTCAACTTTGTCCAATACAAGTTCTGCATCCTACTAATTTCTCTCGTCGTTTTAAAACAGCATGAGACACAGTGAAGAAACAAGGTTTTCGAGATCATTAATCATGTCAACATACAAAAAAAAGCAATACATCCTATTTCAAGGTCACTAATCATGTCAAAATACAAATTAAGTAATCCAAATCAACACTAAATTCAACAAAACAAATCAGAATCATCATCCTCATCATCATCATCAGCAGCACCGCTGTCATCACTTGAATCACAGCTAGACTCATCGTCATCAGCCTCTTCTTCAGCATCCACTAGCATTCCCTCAACACCATCATCCTCGTCCTGCGAAATACCTTCTTCATCATTATATTCTGGAATCTCATCTGGAGCACATAGAGCTGGTGGAACCTCAATAGTTGCCTCCTGAAAAATGTCTGAGTCAACCTGACCATCAATCACTGACTTTGCCTTTGTCTTAAACACAGCCCACCATTGAGCACAATCCTTCTTAAGGCTGGGATAAGGTGCAAAGTACACTTGCCTTACTTGGTATGGCAACACAAAAGGATTACAGTTTGGGTTTTTCTTCACATGGTTGACCTCAACAAGCTTGTACTGTTCATGAATATTAATATCCTCCATCCAACTGCATTTGAACAATATTGTCTTATACACTCCAAGATTTCCGGTGTAAACAAGTTCAATCACATCATCCAAAATGCCGAACTCTGATCCATCTTGATGGGACACACAAACTCCATAATTCATGGTCGACTTGTGTTTGCCATACTCATATGTTTGAAAACTGAAACCATTAACAGAAAATTGACTCCATGTCTGAGCTTGTTTGCATGGACCCATCGCCAAAGCACGCATCACATCACTGGTTGTCATTGATCGAAGTACCTAATTTGAAATAGCCAATGGTAACGAATGTGAATACATATAAATTGAAATTATAATGGATGTTTAAAAAATTAAAAATTCAAGAATATTTTGAACTTCACTCACCTGTGACTTGAACCACTCAGAAAATTCAGCTTCGCATTTTTCCCAAACGTCCTCCAAAACTACACCCGGTCGAGTACGAACAATGTGCTCCTCAAACCTCCTGTTTAATTCCAAATTTATCACGTGGCTGTAAGTCTTTGAAAGGCCATATAGATCTCAAACAATGATATGTATTTAGTTACTTACTTCTCGTAGTCACCTAAGATGCCACAGTTTGCTAACACAAACATATGTGCATGTTGATACTCAACGTCTTCCAAGAAACGACGACTGCCTTCATTAGGTGCACGACCGCAAACAGCCTTAAACAATTCTGGGACATCTTTTTCTTGCAAATGTCTTTCAACTTTTGAATTCACATTCTTTCCTAAGTCCAGTGCTTTTGTGTCCACTTCTGACTGAAAGTAATGTGAACAAAAGTTTGCAATCTCCTCGTTTAAGTAAGCATTGCATATTGAACTTTTGATACGAGACTTGTTTCCGACCTTGCGTTTCAGATGGTGAAGAAACCTAGCAAAAAGGTAAATAGTGCTTGAGAAATTTAATGGACCACTATGAATATGGAAACTAGAATGTAAGGAACATTTAAACAATTTAAAACCGAAGCTCCTATTACCTTTCAAATGGGTACATCCACCGATATTGTACAGGACCACCCACCTTGGCCTCGTATGGCAAATGCAACGGTAAGTGTTCCATAGAGTCAAAAAATGCCGGGGGAAAAATCACTTCAAGCTTGCAAAGGATCTCAGCAATGTTGTGTTCTAAGCGCTCCATGTCACTCATTTTGATGGTAGAGGAACACAGGTCTCGAAAGAATTGACTGATCTCTGTAATTGGTTTCCAAACATGCTCTGGGAGCAATTCCTTCAAAGCAACTGGAAGTAACCTCTCCATAAAGACATGACAATCATGACTTTTCATGCCGCGAAGCTTACAAGTTTGTAGATCAACAAATCTGGTCAAGTTTGAAGCATATCCATCTGGAAACCGCAAATCTCGAACCCACTCACACAGCACCTTCTTTTGAGCCTTGTCAAGTGTAAAAGGTGCTTTTGGCATGCTTTCTTTTCCTCTGTCATCTACCGTGAGCTCTAGTTGTGTTCGTTTGCAAACACGTGCCATGTCTTTTCTAGCAGCCACCGTGTCCGAGGTATGTTTTTTCACATCCATCACAGTGTTAATAAATTGATTAAAAAAGTTTTTTTCAATGTGCATAACATCTAGGTTGTGACGAATTAGCAAATTCTTCCAATACGGAAGCTCCCAAAGTATGCTTTGTTTAAACCAACCCTTTTTTGCCTTTTTTATCCTTTTAAGTGCTTCCGGCCCATCAATAGCTTTTGGCATGTCCTTCACACAACGCCACAACTCTTCTCCGGACATGATGTACGGAGGGGAGTTCTTTTCAACTCTATTCTTACAAAATGCTATTTTATTGTTTCGAAAGGGGTGATCAGGAGAGAGAAATTGACGATGACAGTCAAACCAAGAAACTTTGCCCCCATAGTCAAGCCAAAAGGCTTTGCATTTGTCCAAACAGTAAGGACATGCCTTTTTCCCCGAAGTAGACCATCCAGATAGTATTCCATATGCTGGAAAATCACTAATGGTCCATAAGATGGCTGCCCGGAGATTGAAATTTTGTTTCCTTGAGATGTCATAAGTAGTGGCACCATTCTCCCACAATTGTTTCAGCTCTTCAACTAGCGGTTGCATGTACACATCCAAGTTTCTTTTCAATTTTTTCGAACCAGGTACAAGCAATGAAAGGAACATGAAAGGCTTTTTCATACACAATGACGGAGGCAAGTTGTATGGGGTTAGAGTGACGGGCACATATTGCCCTCCAAATTTGTCATGTGGTGCAAATCCATTGGTGCACATACCAAGTCGAACATTACGAGGCTCGGAGGCGAAATCAGGAAAAGATCTATCCAAATGCTTCCAAGCTTCACTGTCCCTAGGATGAACCATTTGGTTTTGGACTCGGGGTTTCTTGGCATGCCATGTCATGTCCTTTGAAATGCTCTTAGTTGCAAACAACCTTTGCAACCTTGGTGTGATTGGAAAATATATTAGAACTTTTGAAGGAACCAAGGCACCCTTAGAAGTCTTCTTGTATCTATCACTATCACACAATCTACATTTGTCTAAGTGAGCATCACCTCTCCAAAACAGCATACAACCCTTAGGGCATGCATGTATCTTCTCATGAGGAAGTTCCAACCCCTTAATAACTTTCTTTGTTTCGAGGAAAGTCCTACCAATGTTGTTGCTGTCTGGAATCGCTTCACTTAGCAAAGAAGCAAATCCATCAACACACTTGTGTTGCAAGTTGTACACACATTTCAGACTTGTTATTTTAGATGCCATCTCCAACACAGACATGGTACTCCCATCATAAAGTGGTTGCTCTGCTGCCTTCAGAAGGTCAAAAAACTGCTTTGCTTCCACATTTGGCTCTTCTTCCACGGCACTTGAGTTTCCTGTAGCCAACAGTTCCTGGTTATTTTTATTAACATTAACAACCAGTTTCTGAGAAGAAGAATTCCCAACCTGTTTCTGAGAAGAAGAATTCACAACCAGTTTCTGAGAAGATAAATTCCCAACCAGTTTCGGAGAAGAAGAATTCCCAACCAGTTTCTGAGAAGAATTCCCAACCAGTTTCTGAAAAGAAGAATTCCCAACCAGTTTCTGAGAAGAAGAATTCCCAACCAGTTTCTGAGAAGAAGAATTCCCCTGGTCTAGATCTGAAAAACTTTCCCCGTGGCAATACCAATCATAGTAGTCAGGAATAAATCCCTTCTTGTGTAAGTGATCTTTGACTGTCTTCGCATCGTAGAGACGTAAGTTCTTACATTTAGAACAAGGGCATCTAACTTCATCTACGTTTGAGCTCTCAGGATTTTGTCTGCAATACTCAAGGAAGTCTTCAACCCCTTTCAAGAACCCGAGCTTAAGATTACGCCCATTAAGCCTATCATACATCCAGTTGCGCTCCCTCCGTTTCATGATAACAAATTCTACACACCACACAAACAATGTCACAAATGACCACTTAAGAAAGTCATGTAAAAAATAAACCCAACTAAAGTGAGTCTGTGTTTTAGTCATGACATCACACCACTTAATCACTTATGGCAACACAGTGAGAGCATTCTGTTTATATAATTAGGCTTATTGGGTGAGCAGGAATGAATAACAAATCTAAAATCTAGCATATATAAAACCATTCAATGTAATTACTATTGACTCATGATGCTCCTACAAAGAGTTAAATTTCCTATACATTACTATTCAACACAGAATTATTTACAACTTAATACAATACTACGTAATCAACACCCAAATTATTGCAAAACTTAGTCTAATAACACAACTTAGTATAATAAGACACATTGTATCTAACACTAAGCATATATGATAACAGAGCCTAACCCATTATGATGAACCCCTAAAGTATAAACACCCAAATTATAACACACTTTCCTACTCCATAACACAAATAAGTTTAATTACACAACTACCACGAACATACAGATTAGGTACAAAATAAAAATTTCATCAAACAAAATCTGAAGAAACATACAGATTAGGAGTTTCATCAAACAAAATCTGAAGAAAAAAAACATGAAATTACTTACCTCTAATTAACCTGGATTATTGGCTTCAATCAAGAAAGTTAATTGTAAAGATCTACAGAGAAAAAAAAAAGAAAAAAAAAAAAAGAAAGACAAGAAGGGAGTTAGAGTGTTTGGAAAATGCTTACAAAAAACACTTGAAACAAAGTTAAATTACTTCATTAGAAATCAAAAATTTTAGAATTAGGGTTTGGAAATACTTGGGTAAATTTACAACAAAAAAATAAAAAATGTATAAAATAAGAGGGATTATCTACCATGAGTAAGGAAGGATAGAATCCGGCAGCCACAGACGGCGGCGACGGCGGTGAATATCTTCTTTCTCTCTCCTAATGAGTCGTCCCTTTCAATTTTTTTTTCAGAAGTAAAGTTTGGCTACTGAAGAATCTGCTGGGTCAGTAATTTTTAGTCGCATTGCACCGATAGTTTCAAAACTGTCGTAAAATCGGTCGTTATTATTGAGCTCTTTCCCAAATTAAAGTCAAGAAGAACCGCAATTCCCAAATTGCAGCCAAAGTTTTAAGTTTTCCCATTCTACCGTCCACGTAAGCACTGGTTAAAAAATCGGTTTTTTTTTTCCGGTCCAGGGTAAACCGCTACTTGAAGTAGCGGTTTCTTTGCAATAAACCGCCACTTCAAGTAGCGGTTTCTTAGTTTAAAACCGCTACTTGAAGTAGCGGCTTGTTTACAAAAAACCGCTATTTAATGTAGCGGTTTATTTTGGAAAACCGCTACTTCAAGTAGCGGTTTACTTTGAAAAACCGCTACTTGAAGTAGCGGTTTACCCTGGACTGGTTTTTTTTTCAAACTTGCATAATCACTCAAAAAAAAACCTGGTTGTGTACCTGTAAAACATGAGATATATAGCATATTTTCAACACAACCACCATAAATAACAAGTTTATGAAGATCTAAGGAAGTCGAAATTGCAAAGTCGAATATTTTTCAATTGATTAAATATAACAAAATCCAATTCTAAGCATTTACAAAAAAATTAGTTTAGTTCCAAAATATACACTTAGCTCGGGCGTTGCTTCTTCCCATGAGGTGACGATGAAGATGATGCAGCTGTCTCCTCTGGAATGTCATCCAGGCCAACTCCAACCCCAGACGTAGTGTTGCTACGCCGTCGGTTTCTCTGATACTGGCGATGCACTAGTGGAGGAGATGTCATGATAGTATGCTGAGAAGGAGTCGGTGGACGGAAGGCACGTGCTGACCATATGGACGTGCAAATCAGCAAATGCATGTGCCTACATTTAAGTGTAGTTTTAATGTTAGTAAAATGAAATCAAAAACGTAAGAACTAGATTGAAATGAAGTGAAGTTCATACAAGCAGGAGGTCAGAGGTAGCTGGCTGGTAATGACTCGGGGGGCGCTCCTGCGAAGGTGGAGTAATGACCAGTCTCGTGATGCGACGGTACCAAGCCATGTACTCTGTCATGGCCGGGGAAGAAGTCCTAGTGAACGGGTATCCCTGGACGACTAATGCCTCACGTCGACTCCACTCGTGTACATGGTCCGAATGCCGAATCTCCCAATTACGCTGTCCCCTTCGATCCTTCCTGTGTAGAGCAACGTCCGTGTCTACATCCTGTGGGATCGGCTGGTCTAACCCGAACTGACGAAGGACTCGGTCTGGGAGGTGGAACTCAACGACGTCAAAGCATATCAGAGGTGCCCGTGAACGCCAAATGTGCATGTCTGAGCGACAAATCTCCGGAAGTCGATCCATCACCGCCTCAGTATATGGCTGCCAAATCATCTAATTCCCAAAACAAGTATGTCAACATGTATATGACTAACATAATGGAAGAAATACAATGCACAAAAAAAAGAAACACCGATTGTACCTGGTCCTCGCGCTGATGGTCAAACGCATCTCTGTAGTATGGTAGTCCAGAAGCAGTATGCGCACACGATAGATGGACACGTAACCACCTGTAAAGACATGTTAATAATAATTCTTGAAAGATAGAATTGTAAGAACATGAACTTGAAGCAAACATTGTACCTGCACGCCAAAGGGTCAACACCTCGCTGATGCTGAGTCCCCAAAATGTCATCCTCATCCTCAGCCTCAGGGTCCTCCTGTGGCGGATCTCGAGGCCTCCTAATGTATGGTCGGCCAATAGTAATATGCTCCCACGACCACAACTGTAGTAGGATGAGCGGGCCTCCAATCTGTCTTGAATCTCGCTGACATCCTCGACATAGCTGCCGATACAAAAAACCAAGAGTCGCACTCCCCCAGCTGTAGGTCGAAGCTGTCCCCCAGTCTCGAAGGAACGGCAAGTAGTAGAGTGACACAGCATCGCCACTCTTGTCGGCGAACAGAATAGATCCCATGAGAGTGAGAATGTAAGCACGGCTATGGCGCTGAACTATCAAGTCATCAGCTCCCTCTGGCATCTGTGAGAAGTGACGTCTGAGCCACGTCAACTTCAAAGTAGATCCCTCCAGAAACGGCTTACCGTTATCATCATGGCCAGGTCGAACTCCCAGCAACTCCTCAACTAGGTCATGCCATCTCTCAAATGGAGGTCCAATGACAGGAGGGCCGTGCACTCTCAGACCTAACAGGACGGAGACATCCTGTAAAGTAATGGTGGCCTCACCTACCACTAGGTGGAAAGTATGTGTCTCCTGCCTCCACCTCTCAACCAACGCCGTAAGAAGAGATCGATCAAGCAAAAACCCTCCTCCCAAAATCCTATGTACACCGTAAAACCCAGCAAGCCTAAAGTACTCTAGTACTCCGCCATCTACCCTCCACTCACGTCCCACGCTGACCATATGCTCCCTAACTGAGAGAACTCTATCAGCTACGCCACTCCAAACATCGTGGATCCTATGGGAAGTCTGCAAGCGTAGAACAGATGGATCAACTGGGCCTGGACGAATCACCGGCTCCATGGGACCTACACGATAACAAAAAATTGAATTAATGTTAAGCGTTCGAGAAAAAACATAAATATTAAACAAGAATATATAATTAATCATGTTACCCAGATGATCCAAATCCACCAATAAGAGTAGGACATGTCTTCTTGTTATGCCCAGGTCGCCGACAAACACTGCATGCCTTCTTCACACGATTGGGACGCTCATCCATTTCATTTCGAATTCTAGTGGACCGTCGGCCTGGGCCTCTTTTCAAATCTGGGTTGGCAATAGTAGTAGGACCATTGTAAGCTGACCAGTGGCAAGGATCAGGAACTGGTGCGAAACACTTCGCGTATGAACGCCTATATTCGGCGGTCATGAAAAAAGAATCCACAAAGTCTGCATGTGATAGGCTTCTATGACGACAAATTGCTAGTACATGAGAGCATGGGAGCTTGTATATTCTCAATTTCTCACAAGTACATGTCTTGCTCAACAGATTCACAGTGTGGGAGTTACCACCTTTACCAGCTTTTCTTCTTCCACGACCGGTCCTAACCTGATACAACCCGATGGCATCATAGTCAAAAGCAACAACCTCATGGTGCGTGGCTTTCTCCATGTTGGCTTCTATTGTCTTCTTAGCCTTTTCCGATAACTCATGGCCCTCTTCAAGTCTTCTTTTACTCCAACTTCTTCTAGTTGCAAAATAGGAGTTAATCCGGAAAAAGGTCATTTGCACTAAAGCGGTTATCGGGAGACATCGAGCCCCCTTTAAGACTCCGTTGAAAACTTCCGACATGTTTGTAGTCTTCACACCAAACCTGAAACCACCATCATGATGAATGGACCACTTACTGTACGGAATTTCCACCAAGTACCTACGGGCCTCTACATTCAAGTCACCAATTTTGTTGATGTAGTAATCAAACTTCTTCTTCTGCCTTGCAGTAGCTGCTTTGCCAAAGAGGTTCTTTATGACGACACTTTTAAATTTTGAGTTCACATTAGAAGCCAAGTGTCGTGTACAGTACTTGTGGTAGGCATTGGGCTCCTCCCAACCACTTCCAACTTCTTCCATTGCTGCTAAAATACCAGCATGTCTGTCAGATATCACACATAGCCCTTTCCTATCTGTAACTCGAGCACGAATACAAGCCATGAACCAAGACCAACTATCATTGTTCTCTCCTTCGACAACCGCAAAAGCATGGGGGAATAGTTGAAAATTGGCATCCGTTCCCATAGCAATGAGTAGAGTGCCTTTGTATTTGCCATATAAATGAGTGCCATCAATGGTGATAAGGGGTCTGCAGTGACGGAATCCATCAATACATGGCTTGAATGCCCAAAAGACTCGTTGAAAAACATGTGTTCCAGGAACCGTACACTCTAACAACCTCCACTCAACAACAGTTCCAGGATTTGATTCCTTGAGAGCTTGCATGTACTTAGGCAACTGTTCATATGAACCCTCCCAATCCCCATAAATGAGTTTTATTGCCTTTTGTTTCGCTAGCCATGCTCTCTTGTAGGTTATTTGGAATCCATCAAATTTCTCTTTCACAAGTTGCACCATTGTCTTGATTTTCAATGAAGGATCAACGCGAATGACATCTAGAAGAGCATTGCAAACGAACTCGGAAGTCAGTAGCTTATGATCTCCCGAGTCAATGTCACCAACACAGTTACTTGCATGAGGGCCGTTGTACCTCACAATTTTAAACGTAGAGAGTGTTGGATCTTTCACTCCTCTAAGCCTCCACGAACAACTACATTGTTCTTTCCTCTTGCACTCAACAACATATTTCTCTGTGTTGAGCCTTTTGATTTTGATGGACAAATTGACAAACTCGACTAATGAATGTTTTGAGTCTTTGGTGAATAAAGGGTTCAAGCAAAGTTCGTTCCGGAGTAGGAACTTGGATGCGGAGTAGCATTCTTTAAAAAGCCTCGTGCAAATCTCACGTTCTAGTTTTAATTGTGAGCACTCAATAATATAAAGTCGGAAAGGAACTCAATGACTTATGTTAAAGACTACTGGAATAAAAGTTAGTTTTAAAAGATAATTTCTTAAAGAAAAGATAATTTGTAAAAGTTTTAATAAAGATAATTATCGAAGATAATTATCTAGTTGTTTTAATAAATAATAAATTTATCTTTTCAAATAAAATCTTTTTAAACAAACTTTTGATAATCTTTTAAATAAATATTTGATAAAGTTAGCAAGTGGTTTTTCTGTGAGAAAATCTTTTATACGGCTAATGGTTATCAAGTTGTTAGGATAGTGATTTAATTAGATAAGGCTAGGAAACCTCTTCATGATCACAATCTGTCAAGATAACTCCACAAGTTGTTAGTGGGTTGTTGACATGTGGACGTGATTATGGTGGAGGTTAATGACTAAGCCTTCTCTATAAATACTCATGCAAACTATCTCAGAAAAACATAACTCTTGAGCATAAAAATTCCAGTAGCCATCTAATAACATAAAGAGAGTTATTTTCCTTCATATATTCTTGAGTGCAATAGGTATTTGTAATCACAGATTGTATTCAAGTACTTAGGGGTTGGGATTGTGAGTTTGTAAAGTGAGGTCAAGGAAGCTTCGTTGCTGAAGTCTTCTGTGAGAGTTGGGAACAAGTTCCTAATTTGTGGAACTTGTTAACGGGTTTGAATCTTCACTTGTAAAGAGTTTGATTACTTAGTGGAAATTTAGAAAAGCCTATATCTTCTCTCGTCACTATTTCATTTAGTTAAATTCCGCAAAAAGTTTTTAGATTTCACCTCAAATACAATTCACCCCCCCTCTTGTATTAGCCAGTTAGACTTTCAGTTGGTATCAGAGCAGGAACTCAGAACACGCAGGCAACCCTGTTGAGTAAGTTCCTGGAAAATGGCTTACACAGAGGAAAAGGAATTCGGGAGTACATCCATTCAAAGGCCTCCATACTTCAACGGCAAATTTTATCCTTATTGGAAGGATAAGATGGAAATCTTTATCCAAGCAGAGAATTATCAGGTATGGCGAATTATACAAGTAGGAGATTACGAAATTACGAAAACGAATGCTAATAATGAGGTAATCCCTAAACCTATGGATGAGTATGAAAAAACTGATTTTGAAAAACTTGAAATGAATGCTACTGCCAAAAAGTTTTTAATTTGGGGACTTGGACCCGATGAACATACTCGTGTCAAAGGGTGCAAGTCCGCAAAGGAAATTTGGGATCTTCTGGAAGTTACACATGAAGGAACGTCAGATGTTAAACGTTCCAAAATAGACATTCTTTTGTCTCAGTATGAGCGCTTTGAAATGGGAAACAAAGAATCCATTAAAGACATGTTTACTCGATTTAAAGGTATTACTAACGAACTAACGTGTCTTGGCAAGATAATTCCTATAGATGAGCAGGTCAGAAAAGTCTTAAGAAGTCTTCCAGACAATGACAGATGGAGAGCAAAGGTTGCAGCGGTGCAGGAATCAAAAGACTTCACCAAGTTCAATCTGGAACATCTTGCGGGTTCCCTCATTACTCACGAGATCCAGTCGAACAATCGGACTCAGGAGACTGTCAAAAGTCAAGGGCTAGCATTAAGAGCTAATGAAGAATCCGAAGAGAAGTCTGACATCGATGAAGAAGAAGCTGCAATGTTGGTGAGAAGGCTGAAAAAATTCTACCGTAACAACAAGTTTTTAGACAAGAAGAAAGGATACAGTAAAAGAAATCAGGAACCCAAAGCCAAGTCTTCTTGTCACAAATGTGGAAGCACCAACCACTTCATCAAAGAGTGTCCATTATGGGAATCTGAGAAAGGCAAGGGAAAAGAAGCTGATCAAAGCAGAAATTCCAAGCCTAACTTTTCTAAAACAAATTTCAGGAAAGCAATGATTTCCACGTGGGGAGAATCAAGTTCCGAAGAAGAGGAACAGGAACACACAGACGATGAAGTAGCCAATCTCTGTCTAATGGCAAAGCATGATGATGAGGTAGTCATTCAACCTAATTATTTGAAATCTCTCTCAAAGGATAAATTAATCTCTTTATTGTTAGAAACCTTAGATGAATATAAAGAATTATGTGCAAAACTAAGGCAAGCCGAAAAGGCAACTGGAATTTGTAGAGATCATGTTAAGTATCTGAATAGCTTAAGAAATGATGTTCAAGGCAGATTCTTTGAATTGTTAGATAAAAATATTATGCTAAAAGAATCCCTTGAAAGAGTCAAGAGTGAGAATATCATGCTGAATATTGAATTGACTCAATATAAAATGTTGTGTACTAACATTGATTCTTGCAGGTCTACTGAAGTTCCTTTAATCATGTTTAATAATGAACTAGAGCATGTTAAGAAAGAGATAAAGGAAACCAATGATAAAAATGAGAAACTAGAAAAGGACCTAGAAATTGCAAGAAAAAGTAAAAATACAGCAAGCACGGGTGTTCCCAAGTGGGTAAAGGAAGCTCAGACAAAAAGAACAGAAGGTCTAGGCTATGTTCATAAGAAGAAGTCCACTGGAAAGAAAAAGAAATATGTGAACTTACCTAGTGAGACCGTTTGTTCTTTCTGTGGTAAAAAGGAACATCGCAGTGAAGAATGTACTAAGAAAGCAAATCTGTACAATAAGAATGTGAATTATGTTTGGCAGAAGAAATCTGATTTAAATGTGTCAACACAGGAACCCATGAATGAAAGGGTTCCTACTACTAACTCTTAATTTCTTTTGCAGGTCGAAGTGAGGGGGAACAACCAGTGGTACCTCGATAGCGGTTGTTCTAAGCACATGACAGGAGATGAATCCAGATTTCTCTCACTGACGGCCTATACAGGGGGAACAGTGACCTTTGGAGACAATAAGAAAGGCAACATTGTTGCTGTTGGCAAAGTAGGAAGGTCAAGTTCCCATGCAATTGACAATGTATTTTTAGTCGAGGGTTTGAAGCATAATCTACTCAGTATTTCTCAGTTTTGTGATAAAGGAAACTTTGTAAGCTTTTCTTCTGAAAAATGCAAAATCATCAACAATAACACTGGTAAAATCGTTTTGGAAGGAACTCGTAAAGGGAACACATATACCGTGGACCTTAACAAAGTTCCAAAATACAATCTATCTTGTTTAAGTGTTATTGAGGATGATCCACTTCTATGGCATAAACGTTTTGGACATGCTAGTCTTTCATTGCTTGACAAATTAAGGTCAAAGGACTTGGTAATCGGATTACCTTCTATCAAATTCCTAAATGACAAAATTTGTGAAGCCTGCATCAAAGGAAAGCATGTTCGATCATCATTTAAATCAAAGAAAATGGTAAGCACCACAAAACCATTGGAACTCATTCATATGGATTTGTGTGGCCCCGTTAGAATTCAAAGTAGAAGTGGAAAAAGATATGTCTTAGTTCTTGTGGATGATTATTCTAGATTTACTTGGGTCATATTCTTACATAGTAAAGATGAAACTTTTGATATGTTTATGACTTTCTTGAAAAAGACACAAAAATCAATAGGTAATCAACTTATTCATATGAGAACTGACCATGGTACGGAATTCGAAAATTCCAAGTTTGATGAATTTTGCAGAGAACAGGGAATAAGTCACAATTTCTCAGCGCCAAGAACACCACAACAAAATGGTGTGGTTGAGAGGAAGAACCGAACATTGGAAGACATGGCAAGAACAATGCTAATAGCAAGTGGGCTTCCAAGAAATTTTTGGGCAGAAGCCGTCAACACAGCATGCTATATCGTCAACCGAGCCATGCTCAGACCAATGTTGGACAAGACACCTTATGAACTGTTAAAAGGGAGAAAACCTAATATTGCTCATTTAAGAGCTTTTGGATGCAAATGTTTTGTTCACAATAATGATAAAAGAAATCTTGGAAAATTTGATGAAAGGAGTGATGAAGCAGTCTTTTTAGGATATGCATCTAATAGTAAAGCTTATAGAGTTTACAATAAGAGGACTATGTGTGTAGAAGAAAGTATACATGTGATTTTTGATGAAACTAATAATTATGGTTGTATACAGGAATATGAAGATGGAGATTTTGAAATTGGTCTCACTCGTTCAACAGACCAAGATGAAGAATTAATTCCCAGAAAGCAGCATGTTCGAATTACTGAAAATACTAATAAGGAACCTACTGAAGTTCCAAATAATACTGAAGCCTCTGATCAAAATACAGAAGAAACAGAAAATACAGAAGGCGAAGCAAATGCAGAAGCAGAACACCATGAAGAAATGGAAGAAAGAGCAACTCAAAATAACACTTTTATACCAGCTCAATCATTCCAACCAAAGCCATGGAAACATCAAAGGTCACACCCCCTGGATAAAATTATAAGTGACCTAAGCAAGGGAACTCAGACGAGATCCCAACTGAGAAACTTCTGTGCATTCAACGCCTTCTTATCAACACTGGAACCTCGAAATCACAAAGAAGCCTTGGAAGATGCTGATTGGATTGTTGCCATGCAAGAGGAATTAAATGAATTCGAAAGAAACAAAGTGTGGCACCTTGAACCCAAACCAACAAATCAAAAGGTTATTGGTCTCAAATGGGTATACAGGAA